CTCAATATTCGTTCATTTCGCTTAGTTATAATGTTTAATAATTTGTCTTAGTTGTAATGTTTAATAGTTTATGTGTGTGTAAATCACGAAGAAATTAACACGTGATGAACAATGTGACAATGTCAGATTAGAATTAGATTAGAAGGATAAGAAAATCTTAATTCTTTCTTCCTGGTCTAACATTGTCATATATATATATATATATATATATATATATATATATATATATATATATATATATATATATATATATATATATATATATATATATATATATATTACCTAAAGGGATACTACCTCTGGTGCAAGTGTAGGGACCCATAGCCTCGGAGAAGAAAATAAGGAGTACTCATAGAAGACCTTGTGGATCCTCACTGAACACTTTGATATTTTCTTCTCCTACCACCCCTATTCTTTTTGTATGTGTGTATCTGTATAACTTTATTTAAAATTTCATTATACAAAAAGGGTTACAACATTGGTTACATGCCGGGTACAAGGCTGCTTGTCACAGGTTGTAGAGCTCCTCCAGCTCCTCAGATGGCGGGCAGGAACCATGGATGTAGTGAGCATTGCCTCTCTGGATCGCCACACTAAGGCGCTGAAAGAGAAAACTGACGGCTCTAGGGTCTCTAGTTGTTTCAATTAGCTTGGACTCCCAACTCCTTCAAAAAACTAGCAGCACTTTTACCCCAGGCACCAAGTGTCTCCGAGGCAATGGGGACAAAATTGTAGTGGTGATCAAGGACTCTGTATTTACGTGACTTGACTGCTTCCCGGTGATTGGCAGCTCCTCCTGCCTGTGCAGCACTGAAGTCATCATAGGTGTTGGCTAAAGTTGAAACGCAAGTGTAGTCCCACACCAACTGTCTACCATTCTTTCAGGGGTGTGCGTGTATATATATATATATATATATATATATATATATATATATATATATATATATATATATATATATATATATATATATATATATATATATATGCTTGTAGTGAAGATCCTACAAGGTTAAACTACTGACCCTGCACAGTATGCTACCAACAACAGTTAACTAACTCCGTGGTATCTACTTTTCAGGCAGAGTGGAAATAGAACCATTTGCGTTCCGCCCGGGGAATCGAACACAGGATCCTCGATTGTGAGCCAAGAACGTTAAGTTACTGTACTAATGTCATGTAGTTTCTATTAATGTTTGGTCAGTTCCTTTACACTTAATAACTATTTCTCTTCTACATTACAATTACAATGAATTATTTAGCTTTTCGTAAAATATATATTGTTTACGAGTTATAGATAAACAAGGAACTTATTAAAACGGCCGGCCCGACGGAGAATATGTCAACAAAGGGTTGTATAATAGAGAAAACTGAACTTTATATACAGGTTATGCAATGATTGTTGTGCTCTGTCTTCACCTTCAGTTGAGAGCGATATCGTAGCCGATCGAAAATCGTAAATTGCTTAGTGATTACCGACTCAAGCCCCCCACACCCCTACCCCCGCGTGTATTAGAGGGATAGTTACTTGACCCACCAGCGCTGTCGTATATCCTGTCGCTGGAGTTACAACCATGACATAAGGGAGGCAGGATATAAGATCCCGGTGCCGCTGAGAGAAACATAATTCAAGACAATTGATAAATAAAAACTGTATTACTTAAGATTAAATAATATTACAGCAGGTGATAAATTCGAAGCTGTATTTCTTGTCTTTAAAGCTAGCTACACATTATTGAAGTGACCAGATGCTTTACACAATGTGAAGAGAGCAGTTCTTAATTAATATTCAGACTTTCAAGCACATATAATCAGTCACAGGTAAGTAGATAGTTTTCAGTGAAACAAATGAGGACTAGACGCAGGTGAAGATCACAAACAAGTGAAGACTAGACTGCACCAGCCGCCAATCTTCACCAATATATAATTCCTCCTTTTTTTTATCGTGATAAACATTGTGTGAGTTAAATTGCTTTGGAGGATATAATTCAGCTGATTATAGGCTTCCAGTCTTATCATTAACATGAGACTCGCCAATGTTCTTCCTCGGCTTTGTTCACTGGTTCTGGACCAATTGATGAACAACTGAACATAAATCTGTCTTACAAACGCCATGTAGCAGACGGGCTTAGGTCCAGGCAGGCGGAAGGGGCAGTAATTATAATCTAAAATTGGTACAAATCTTTGTTTCCAAAAAAACCTTTACACCCCCAAAACAACCTCGTAGCCTGGTGGATAGCGCGCAGGACTCGTAATTCTGTGGCGCGGGTTCGATTCCCGCACGAGGCAGAAACAAATGGGCAAAAGTTTCTTTCACCCTGAATGCCCCTGTTACCTAGCAGTAAATAGGTACCTGGGAGTTAGTCAGCTGTCACGGGCTGCTTCCTGGGGGTGGAGGCCTGGTCGAGGACCGGGCCGCGGGGACACTAAAAAGCCCCGAAATCATCTCAAGATAACCTCAAGATAAGAGATAACCTTATACCTAAATTTTACAATTGATTTAAGACATTTAAAACAATTTCAATATTAATATAAAACACTTAAAAATAAATACATAAGGTAAGTTGTATCGTGGAGTAATTAAATGGTTTCTGTTATCTATTCAGTTGTGACGTTTATTCAGTAAAAGAAATAATTTTAATTCTGTTGCAACATTTATGATAAGTTAGACAAAATAGTTAATTATGGTAAACTAATACAAATACGGTTTACTATTGTGCTTTACTTGGGGTAAGAAATTAAGTATTAGGTAAATGTTATAGTTTTATTTGTCTGTATATGAGATATTTCGTTGACCCTTGTCACAAGCCTTGTTACAACCCTTGTTACAAGCCTTGTCACAAGCCTTGTTACAACCCTTGTTACAAGCCTTGTCACAAGCCTTGTCACAAGCCTTGTTATAACCCTTGTTACAAGCCTTGTTACAAGCCTTGTTACAACCTTTGTTACAAGCCTTGTTACAACCCTTGTTACAAGCCTTGTTACAACCTTTGTTACAAGCCTTGTTACAAGCCTTGTTACAAGCCTTGTCACAACCCTTGTTACAAGCCTTGTCACAAGCCATGTTACAAGCCTTGTTACAACCTTTGTTACAAGCCTTGTTACAAGCCTTGTCACAAGCCTTGTCACAAGCCTTGTTACAAGCCTTGTCACAAGCCTTGTCACAAGCCTTGTCACAACCCTTGTCCCAACCCTTGTCACAACCCTTGTCCCAACCCATGTCACAACCCTTGTCCCAACCCTTGTTACAACCCTTGTCCCAACCCTTGTCACAACCCTTGTCACAACCGTCCACTATACTAGTATCCCACACACTAAACCCAAATTAAACCTGTCCAGTTACACGTAGATGCAAATGACTTAGTGTTAAGCACTTGGAGATCCAGTGCCCTGAGCCCGCGTGTGTGCGAGTCGCCCCCGCCCACACCACCAGTATGGGTCCGTAACAAATATATTAAACTCAATTATGTTGTATGATTTCCTTTTTCTCATGTACACTCTGCGTATCATAGAAGAGGGGAATATTGTGTATAATTGTATATATATATATATATATATATATATATATATATATATATATATATATATATATATATATATATATATATATATATATATATATATATATATATATATATATATTATCAAGGATCCCAGAGAGAGCTAACTGGTATCGAACTGAAACCTTTAGGCTTTTTAGGAGGTGCTAGGTCACCCATGCCCTAGTTATACGTCCTGGTTATACGGACTAGTTATAACTAATTATACAAGCACAGTATCATCAATGGTGACAGGTGTGGACTAAACCACACGTGATAAGGATAAGCAGATTATGACAGTTCCTTCACTTGGATCATCGCAGCTGATGAGTCCATGAGTCGAGGCATAGGTGGGAGGGCAGGTGGTGTAGGTGGGAGGGCAGGTGGTGTAGGTGGGAGGGCAGGTGGTGTAGATGGGAGGGCAGGTGGTGTAGGTGGGAGGGCAGGTGGTGTAGGTGGGAGGGCAGGTGGTGTAGGTGGGAGGGCAGGTGGTGTAGGTGGGAGGGCAGGTGGTGTAGGTGGGAGGGCAGGTGGTGTAGATGGGAGGGCAGGTGGTGTAGGTGGGAGGGCAGGTGGTGTAGGTGGGAGGGCAGGTGGTGTAGATGGGAGGGCAGGTGGTGTAGGTGGGAGGGCAGGTGGTGTAGGTGGGAGGGCAGGTGGTGTAGGTGGGAGGGCAGGTGGTGTAGGTGGGAGGGCAGGTGGTGTAGGTGGGAGGGCAGGTGGTGTTACTGAAGAACATGGCTCCACCACTCCCCCCCCCCCCTCCACCAATCACAAAACAGGTGCCGCCAGCGGTACAACCGGTGTTGTACTATATATATTTTCTTCCTCTTTTCATTTTCCTCCTCCTTCTCCCTCTTCTCTTCCTCCTCCTCCCTCTCTCCTCCTCCTCCTCCTCCTGGTCTAGCGTCTTGACTGTCTTCTCCAGTACGAGACGAAGTATAACTCTTCCCCTGTGATAATTAATGTCTACTCTCATAAGAGCATAACACCGTGTTCACCATCCAGCAAAAAGTGAACCAGAATTTAGAGGTCAGTTTAAGTATTACGTTTTGATACAAAAGTTTGGGAGGGTGGATGGTGATGGGGAAGGGGGGACAAGGGGGGGATGGTGAGGGGGGGGAGTACCAGGGGGGGGGTGAGTGTGTGTGGGGGGGGGGGCTAGGTAGATAGATGGGGGTAGAGGGGGGCATATGGAATGCCTCGGTCCTCAAAAAAACCATTAAGGACAAGTCAGTTATTCCACCTGAACAAATAGATCGGACGTAGGTTCGAATCCTCATCACGGCCCTTGTGGTTCATTTGATGCATCACGCTATTGTGATTTCTGTGTGTATTGTAGTGTAGTGTAGTGTAGTGTAGTGTAGTGTAGTGTTATTCCATCTCTCCAGGGTGTAGGTTGAAATGGTTCTTGTCCAGAGGGTGTATAGTTTCCCATTCTAACTTGACTCTGTTCATACTAACCCTTTGTTGCCTTTGGGATAACCAAGCCGTTAGCCATCTTAAGATAGCGCCCCCAGTACCGTGAGCCTCTATCTTTATACTCAAAGTCTTCCGTGTGGCGCCGTATCAAGAGCTTTGCTGCTAGAGTCATGGTACTCAACATCTCAGTTTTTTCCGCTATCAACTGCCTCAAATATGCTGGAATAGATTGAAACGAAATTTATCAAACATTTACAGCACTTTGTAAATGGTTGCGTGATTTTCAGGCACATTATTGTGATGATTTACCGTCTGCCCTTCGTAAAAACATGTTGTAAATCATTATTTAATCTATGTTTTCCAGGATGAAGGTGAATGACTTTTGCTATTATCGTTTCAAGCAATTTTCTGACAAAGAGACGTTAGGGTAATTGACAGATAGTTCGCTGCAAGTGGTATATATATATTCCCCTTCTCAACTCTCGCCACCACAGGTGCAACTCTCCACGATTCTGGTACCTCGTTGACCAGTAATGATTCATTAATATGTGGGTCAAGGGCTCACTTGGCTCTTCCTTGCATTCTTTCAGTACCCTGGCCAACACTTCGCCTCATCCCCGTTGACTTATTTTGCTCTAATTTGTTCCATCTGTTTTAATAACTTTTCCCCCTGATAGTGACTAAATAATTTAATTCGCCTTCTTCTCTAGTAGATACAGACACAAAGTTATGAATGAGAATGCTAGCAATTTCTTTGTCATCATCAGTTACACGATCTAATTAATTTGACAAAGGACCAGTCATTTCTCAAGTCTTTGTTTGGTATATTAAGATGAACTCTTTGGTGATTGTTCTTGTTTCTCCTATATGCACTTATAGTAAAATTGTTCATCTCATGTGTTTGTTATTATCAGTTACCTGAAAAAATGTCATCTCTTTTAAACGTTCTTCTTAATATAAATTGTTATGCTATATAACGCTCATTTTATTTTGCAAACGTATATATATAGATTTCTTATTTCCAATAAGGTTCTTTAGTCCCATGGTCATCCAATTTGGGCCTTTGTTTTACGACCTAATCAATTTTACTATCTTCCTCGTTTTTAATTATAATTGTTTGAAATTGTATCCACGTGCCAATCTTACTGCAACGTCACTACCCTTAATGGGTCCCTTGGCCTTCTGTATTTTGTGTTGTACTCGTACATGCGTAGTCCCAGTGTGTCGACGCAGAGTGCACCTGTGTAATGCACAGTCCGTGGTCCGAGAGTGTCGACGCATAGTGCGCCTGCGTAATGCACAGTCCGTGGTCCGAGTGTGTCGACGCATAGTGCGCCTGCGTAATGCACAGTCCGTGGTCCGAGTGTGTCGACGCATAGTGCGCCTGCGTAATGCACAGTCCGTGGTCCGAGTGTGTCGACGCAGAGTGCACCTGTGTAATGCACAGTCCGTGGTCCGAGTGTGTCGACGCAGAGTGCACCTGTGTAATGCACAGTCCGTGGTCCGAGTGTGTCGACGCATAGTGCACCTGTGTAATGCACAGTCCGTGGTCCGAGTGTGTCGACGCAGAGTGCACCTGTGTAATGCACAGTCCGTGGTCCGAGTGTGTCGACGCAGAGTGCACCTGTGTAATGCACAGTCCGTGGTCCGAGTGTGTCGACGCAGAGTGCACCTGTGTAATGCACAGTCCGTGGTCCGAGTGTGTCGACGCATAGTGCGCCTGCGTAATGCACAGTCCGTGGTCCGAGTGTGTCGACGCAGAGTGCACCTGTGTAATGCACAGTCCGTGGTCCGAGTGTGTCGACGCAGAGTGCACCTGTGTAATGCACAGTCCGTGGTCCGAGTGTGTCGACGCATAGTGCACCTGTGTAATGCACAGTCCGTGGTCCGAGTGTGTCGACGCAGAGTGCACCTGTGTAATGCACAGTCCGTGGTCCGAGTGTGTCGACGCAGAGTGCACCTGTGTAATGCACAGTCCGTGGTCCGAGTGTGTCGACGCAGAGTGCACCTGTGTAATGCACAGTCCGTGGTCCGAGTGTGTCGACGCAGAGTGCACCTGTGTAATGCACAGTCCGTGGTCCGAGTGTGTCGACGCATAGTGCGCCTGCGTAATGCACAGTCCGTGGTCCGAGTGTGTTGACGCACAGTGCGCCTGCGTAATGCACAGTCCGTGGTCCGAGTGTGTCGACGCAGAGTGTGTTGACGCACAGTGCGCCTGCGTAACGCACCTGGTTACCTGGTTGATACCTGGTTGATGGGGTTCTGGGAGTTCTACTCCCCAAGCCCGGCCCGAGGCCAGGCTTGACTTGTGAGAGTTTGGTCCACCAGGCTGTTGCTTGGAGCGGCCCGCAGGCCCACATACCCACCACAGCCCGGTTGGTCCGGCACTCCTTGGAGGAATAAATCTAGTTTCCTCTTGAAGATGTCCACGGTTGTTCCGGCAATATTTCTTATGCTTGCTGGGAGTGGGAGGACGTTGAACAACCGCGGACCTCTGATGTTTATACAGTGTTCTCTGATTGTGCCTATGGCACCTCTGCTCTTCACTGGTTCTATTCTGCATTTTCTTCCATATCGTTCACTCCAGTACGTTGTTATTTTACTGTGTAGATTTGGTACTTGGCCCTCCAGTATCTTCCAGGTGTATATTATTTGATATCTCTCTCGTCTTCTTTCTAGTGAGTACATTTGGAGGGCTTTGAGACGATCCCAATAATTTAGGTGCTTTATTGCGTCTATGCGTGCCGTATATGTTCTCTGTATTCCCTCTATTTCAGCAATCTCTCCTGCTCTGAAGGGAAAAAGTGAGTACTGAGCAGTACTCAAGACGGGACAACACAAGTGACTTGAAGAGTACAACCATTGTGATGGGATCCCTGGATCTGAAAGTTCTCGTAATCCATCCTATCATTTTTCTGGCTGTCGCAATATTTGCTTGGTTATGCTCCTTAAACGTTAGGTCGTCAGACATTATTATTCCCAAATCCTTTACATGCTGTTTTCCTACTATGGGCAGATTCGATTGTGTTTTGTACCCTGTATTATGTTTAAGGTCCTCATTTTTACCGTACCTAAGTACCTGGAATTTATCACTGTTAAACATCATGTTATTTTCTGATGCCCAGTCGAAAACTTTATTAATATCAGCTTGAAGTTTTTCAATGTCTTCAGCCGAGATAATTTTCATACTGATTTTTGTGTCATCTGCAAAAGATGATACGAAGCTGTGACTTGTATTTTTATCTATATCTGATATGAGAATAAGGAAAAGCAGTGGTGCAAGGACTGTACCCTGAGGTACAGAGCTTTTCACTGCACTTGGACTAGACTTTATATGGTTGACAGTTACTCGCTGAGTCCTGTTTGACAGAAAACTGAGTATCCATCGTCCTACTTTACCGGTTATTCCCATTGACTTCATTTTGTGTGCTATCACGCCATGGTCACATTTATCGAAAGCCTTTGCGAAGTCCGTGTATATCACATCAGCATTCTGTTTTTCTTCTAATGCCTCAGTGACTTTGTCGTAGTGCTCAAGTAGCTGTGAGAGGCACGATCTTCCCGCTCGAAATCCATGTTGGCCGGGTTGTGAAGGTCATTGGTCTCCATGAAATTGGTGACCTGACTCCTAATCACTCTCTCAAATACTTTTATGATGTGCGATGTTAGTGCAACTGGTCTATAATTCTTTGCCAATGCTTTGCTCCCTCCCTTGTGTAGAGGGGCTATGTCTGCTACTTTAAGTGCATCTGGTATCCCCCCCTTCAATTTCTCTTTCAAAATTTAGTGCGCTCGTGTTGATATCAGTTATATTTACAGGGGTTTGAATATCCCGCATAAAGAAATTGTCTGGATCTTCCACTTTCATGTTCTTTATTGGAGTGCTAAACATGTCATCATACTGCTTTTTTAGGATTTCACTAATTTCTTTGTCATCCTCCGTGTATGAACCTTCACTTGTACGAATAGGTCCAATACTGCCAGTGGTTTTTACTTTTGATTTCGCATATGTGAAGAAATATTTTGGATTTTTCTTTATTTCCTGAAATGCTTTCTGTTCTAAATGCCTTTCTTCAGTTTCATATGAGTGTTTCAATTTCCGCTCGATTTCTTCAATCTCCCTATTTAAATTATTCCTTCTTTGACGGGAAATTCGTGTCTGCATAAGCAGTTCCGTTATTTTTTTCCTGCGTTTATAGTGTCGTCTGCGTTCTCTTTCTACGTTAGATCTCTTTCTGGCTTTCCTCAAAGGAACATGTTTCAGACAGACTTGATATGCTTCCGAAGTCAGTTTTTCTATTCCTTCTGTAGGACTTGTATTACTTAGAACAGTTTCCCATGGAATGTTTGTAAGTTCCCTGTTTATTATCTCCCAGTCTATCCTTTTATTATTAAAATTGAATTTACTGAATAGCCCCTCTCGCTTTATCAACGTTTTAGGTCTATTCTGAGTATTGATGGTCGTTTGCACTTCAATGAGCTTGTGATCTGAGTATGTAGTATCTGATATCGTAATGTCTCTGATAATGTCTTCATTGTTCGTAAAAACCAGATCTAGAATATTTTCATTTCTCGTTGGCTCCGATATCTGCTGATTGAGTGAAAATTTGTCACAATCTAAGTAGTTCTCTAATCTGTGGTTGGTTAGGTCCCGATAGATTTCCTGGTATATTATTATTGTTTGCTATTTTCCACCTGAGACTAGGCAAGTTGAAGTCACCTAGGAAGATAATATCAGGTATCGGGTTCTCCAAATTATCAAGGTTATTCTCTATTTTGTTTATCTGTTCTGTGAATTCCTCAGCCGTTGCATCTGGCGGTTTGTATATTAGAATAATCACTAAATTTATTTTCTCTATTTTTAATCCCAGTACCTCTACCACCTCATTTGTAACGTTTAGGAGCTCCGAGCATACAAGGTCTTCCCTAATATACAGACCCACTCCTCCATGTGACCTAATTTTCCTATCACACCTGTATAGGTTATATCCTGGAATCCAGATCTCACTGTCCAACAATTCCCCTGCATGGGTTTCTGTGAAAGCTCCAAATACTGCATTTGACTCCGTGAGGAGGCCATTTATGAACTGTACTTTGTTGTTTGTTCTTGTTTTCAGTCCTTGTATGTTGGCAAAGATGAATGAGGTTACTCTATTAGTGATAGTTTGAATGGGAGACTTTTTCGGCAAACCCATTATGTGTGGACATAATGAGTTTGTTCTGACCAGTACTGATTGTTGTAGGGCAGTTGTCTGTCGTAGTTGTAGTTCCCTTTCGGTGTGTAATTGTATCTGTAATTCTGAAATGCAAGTGGATCTGGCATCCAGTTCCATACACTCCATGCTCCACTCCACTCTCCATGGGGAG